GGCCAAAAAAATTTTATGCCTAGAAAATATGGATCAAATTTTTAAAAATTTAGGTGTGGTTAGTTCAAATTAATATATACTCTCTCCGTTAAAAAATATAAAGCATTTTTAGCCTTTCAAAATGTAATCATTGCCTTTTTTTAAAAAAAAAATCCCCTATTAATAATAACTTTGACGAGCAGTGAAAATGACATTCAAAATTCTTCTAATTCGATCACAAACCCTACATCTCTGAGTGAGATTCATTTTTTTCTTTCAATTTGTCCCTTTCACTAGTGTAAGGTTGTAAATAAATTGATACTATACTTTACATCTTCCCATCCCGATCCCCTACTTGATTCCACAATAATCATCCATCAGAGTAAGGCCATATATAGCAAACAAATGCATTTGCATCCATACATTCTCATATCATATACCATGATAAAAGACTTTAAAATTGTTGAAATATTGGATTTTTTAGGTCCTTTACATGGGAAAGGTCATGGTTCCTCACCTTACTTGTCACAATACCAGTCATTTTCTTACTCATTGCCTATTGTGATTATCTCATCATAGGAATAAATAGGAAAAGATAGGGTTAATTTGAAAGTATGTAATTACTTTATTGGAGAGTGAAATTTGATTAAAAATATCTTACATTTTTTAACAAAGGGAGCAAGAGATTTACAATTGATATACAAAAAATTTATCATTAAAAATTTAAAAATTTACAAGGAGTTTATCATTGATATACAATAGTATATTATTAACAAATATAATAAACAGGTCATAATATAAAATAAAATAAATATTGAGATATTTACTTAATTTAATTATAAAACATTAGCTATATTTACAAAAGTCTCAAGTTGCTTTTCAAATTGGACACAGATCGCAATGTACACTCAGTGTATTGTTATTGCTAATTATAGAAGATGTGGCTAATTTCATAAATTTATAATTTTAAATTTACTTCTTAATTCTTTTGTTTTTTTTTACACAAAATAAATTTAATTCAAAAACTGTGTAATTTTGAGATTTTAGGCGTATTAGCCACTTGTGTCATTCAGCTATTTAAAAGGTATCCAAATAATGTCAAATAACATGTAGTCTAAGGGTGACGTTTCTATTAAAAGCGCTAACAGATAAATCCAGTCATTGAATGGTTAAAATCCCCTTGTAACATAATACAAAAAAAAAAAACAAAAACAAAAAAACCTCCTTGTCACAATTTACTTATCTGCATATATATTGGGAGAATATTAATAAGTACTATTGAAATGATTTGATATTATACAAGAACTTAGACATATTAAATACTTGTTAAAAATTAAACTTTACTTATTAATTAGTAATGCTTACTTGTTATAAGTGATTGTTTAACATTAAATCATTTTAGAGGCCCTTCATTACACATTCAACCCCAAAATATACATATGTGTGTGCTTTATAATATTATCAAAATATTAGAATCCTCAAATGGTATGTTTAAAATTCTAAAATATCACCAAAAAATATTGGTTTTAGTAGAGAAAAGTATTAATATATTTAGCCTTATATATTTTAGAAACTTGCTTTCAATTGAATAAAGATATGTTAATCTTTTATATATTAATTAAATGGTCCCACAAAAAGGATTTTGGATTAGTCTAGATGGAGGGCAACAATTATTTAATTTCATGTTTCTCAAGATATTGAGAGGTAGGATAAAAAGATATTATTAAAATATTAAAATTTATTTTGTATTTGATTGGATATAAATATATTGAGTATATAAGAATAATTAAATAAATCTTGATAATTGAAAATTAGTTATAACTATTTAAGTATAAGATCCCAGATTTAAACTTATATAAATACAAAAGACATATTGGATAAAGTTATTTTTATTTAAGTCTAACAATACCTAAATTTAATTTATTAATACGGGACATCAAATATCAAAGATGCGTAAAAAAACAGTGCAAAAATATCAGTGTTCTATGGAGAGTTTATCCACAAACACCTTGATCAAATCAACACCGTGAGGGAAAATGACGTTTGAAAACCCATGAATGATTATAATTAGTTTTTTAAAAATTTAAATGTATAATTTTCCAAAAGGAAATAAATGTTTCTCTTTTTAAATTACACACACATATATATTTGATAGTAATTTTTCAAATATTGATGTCAACTTTAAAAACATTAATTTTATCTAGTATAAATTTGTAAATATAATTTCTTTCTAACATTAATTCTGAACTTGTGGAGGGGGTTTGGTTAGTCGGTCAGCCTCATCATGCATCAAGGTGTTAATTCTGTACTTGAGTAGATCCAGCTGTATCACGCGCTTTGCTAATAAATAAAGAATAAGTCACATTCCACCAGATATTTAGCACTTAAAGAGTGGTATCAATTTAATCAAAGATTTCGAGTCCGAGTCTTAAAACTGAAGCAGTGATGTTAGTGGTATTATTTTTGCGCCAAAGAATTTCATTCTAGCGCATTCCAAATTAGTTTGACTCTTGTTAAAATCCCTTTAACTCAATATATGATAAGTTTAATATATCGAATGCTGGAAACAAAACAAACAAGTTGCATATTTTATCTTTGATTTTAATAAAACTAGGATTTTTTTTTCTTTTAATATATATATGTGTGTGTGTATTTTTTAAAAAAATTAATTATTTGATCCCTGTGGTTTTGACTCAGTTGTAACTCAATTTCTGAACTTTGACTCATTGTAATTTAGTCCTTATAATTTTAACTCGATTGCAACTCAATTCCTAAATTTTTCCTCTTACAATTCAGTTCCTATAATTTCAATCACTTAAATATTGATCTTTATATTTTTAAAAAATAAAATTATAAAGATTAAAATTATGTTAAAATTTATTACTAATATTTTAAATTATTAAACCCTTCTAATCTTTATAAATATTAAAGGTTTACAATATTTTTAATCTTTATAATTTTATTTTTTTAAAATATAAGGATTAATATTTAAGTGGTTAAAACTATAGGGATTAAATTGAAAAAGAAAAAGTTTAAGAATTGAGTTACAACCAAGTTAAAATTATAAGAACTGAGTTATAATGAATTAAAATTTAGAAATTGAGTTATAACTGGAATAAAAATATAGGGATTAAATAATTAATTTTTTTTATTAAAAAATTAATAACAAGAATGATAATTACAGCACAGCTGTCACTACTTATGGAATAACATGGACTCCACATGATGTTAAAGTTAACAAAACTAATATTTTAATGAAAAATCTCATTCTCATGCCCATGTTGAAAAAACGAGTTCAAATCAGTGCAGCTAATTTACCAAGTTATCCAGATATGGGAACAATTTTTTAAGACCCGGACCGACCCGGACGGTCGGACTGGTCGAACTGTCGCCCGCTGAAGAAAACGGGCTGGTTCAACCAATTAACCTGGATTAGCAGTTGGCCCGGGTTGGCCCGCCTAGAACTGGACGGTTTTTAAAGACCTGGGAAAAACCCGGAACCCGGAGCGGGTTTTACGGGTCAATAGCGGGTCGCAAAAAAAAGTTAAAATTGGTATTTTTAAAAATAAAAAACCCTTCTCCTCACTCTGTCTTACAGACCAACACCTATAAGGACCCATTCTTCTTCTTTTCAGTCTCACTTCTCTCTATCTCACACGATGCACGCACTCATTCTCACCACCTTCTCAAATCTCAGCCATCTGGGCTTTATTCTATGTGTCATCTCCCTCAAGCCTCTCAGCCATCTAAGCTCTGTCTTCACCATTCAGCCATCTTGGACTCGCCTTTTCAACCATTTGGGTTCTATGTTCACCCTTCGTTGTCTTCACCATTTAGCTTTAGCCATCTCAAACTTCATAGGCTTCTTTATTCTTCATCTTCATTTCACTTTCTTCATTTTGGTTTGTGAGCGAGTTCTTGGTTAACTCTAGTATAGGCATCCAGTTGTTGAAGACAGTCAGATGGTGTCGAGCTTGAACCCTTTCTTGATTCTTCATCTTCTTCATCAATTGTTCTCTCTCTCTCTCTTAGTCCCGGTGAGATTTTCTTTCTCCCTCATTTATATCTCTACCCAATTTAATGTAATCTCCATGGTTCTAAATGGAGTAGAATGAATGTTAATGGATGAGCTTGCTTTTTATTGTTTGAGCTGTTTATTGCAAAATGAAGGATTGCTGAATGGATGAAGATGAATCTATTTTTTATTGTCTAAGAGTTGTTTATTGCAAATAGAAGTTATATTTTTTTCAAGTGATTATGCCTAAATCCTGATGCATTTAAGAATCTAATGTTGTATTTTTGTTAGCTTGTTTCTTTTTATATATATATATATATATATAATTTTTTATTTAATTATTTGGTCATCGGTCCAACCACCAGTCTGACCGGTTGAACCATAAGACCCGTGACCCATTGACATTTCCAGTTCACTGTCCGGTCCGGATTTTAAAACATTGTATGAGAACATACTATTTTAGATTAAATATTCAATAAATCCTTCCCCTCGCAAAAAATTATCGTGCTACTATTTTCTTTTATATTTTAAAAATTAAATATCCTTTTGAATTGTTTTTTAGGGCATGATGATAAATTGGTAATAGGGCTCAATTATTTGTAATGTGATTATATATATTATTTTCCTTGAGAAACAAATTATTTGTAAAAATGCTTCGGTGAGACAACTTATTCTTCATTCATCATCATCATTATTACCAACAACTTATGATCTCTTAAAACCGTATAAATGAAAACAGAAGAAGGGGGATTAGAAAACCTTGAAAGTCTAAAACACCAGAGGAAAACCTATTTATGGGTTGATAATAATTTTAAAAATTAAAACGGGTTAAAATTTACGATCTACTCCAACTAGAATTTAACATTATTTATATGAATTTAAACATCCAATGCTAAATAGTTAAGTCAACACAACAATCATCTCAAGAAAGGTGAATAGATACAGCTGTTGCCGCATAAAATAACTCAATCAGCACATGCATAAGAAAAAAGAAACCAACATCATCTTAGGAATAAAGCACATTCTCATAATATAATTCAATAACATCTCATATGTTCAACCAAAAAAATATATGAATTCAAATCAAAGCAGCAAACTGCAACATCGTCATCATGTAATCCCCAGATATACAGACATAGAATTGTTTAAATTAATTAAAAAAGATTCAATGAATCCCCTTCCCCATCATCACGATCATAAGAACACAACCATGATGGCCATGGAAGAAATTGCCAGAACAAAGTTGCCCAAACTGAAGATGGTCCTGTGAGAAGCAGCCTCATCAGGTGAAGATGATGGAGAAGAAGATTTAGCAGACTTGGTATCTGCAGATTTTGCATCTGGTGAATCTGCCGCAGGAGCTATCTCAGGAGCTGGTGAAGGAGCCGGAGTTGGAGGAATGTCAGTCCCGAAGATGGCTTCAGGAAGAAGGACCTTATCAACTTGGTACACGGCCACTGGGTCGGTAGCATGAACAGCACTGCTCACTTTCGTGAGAGACCATCCAGAGTTAACGTGGACAGTCCCGGAATTGTCTGTGAAGTTGAGAGTATAATCGCCGCCAGCGAATGTTGGGGTTGAGCTGGTTTGGCTGAGGTTCTTGAAGTCAGCAAGTGCATAGAAATGTGGCAAGGCATGGAAGAGGATGACTTGTTTGAGTTGGTCTGGTGTGAGTTTAGAAAGTGAAGGCTTTTTGAGGGATGAGAAGGCACTATCTTTAGGTACAAAGATGGTGATTCCTTCTTCTGTGTTGTTGGCTTGGTTTTGGAAGGTGTCAATGACTTTGGTGGATTGTAGGTAGCCAAGGAAGGTGTGGAATGGACCGGCCACCGTGAGGAGGTCGGTAAGGTTCACATAGTCCGGTGCAGGTGCCGGTGCCGGGGTGGGGCTCAGTGAAGGGGGGCTACCAGTTTTGCCAAATCCTGGTGACAAGAGAAGCAGCAGAGCAGTGCTGAATGTGAAGATCATGGAAAACTCCATATTAACAATATGATTGGTCTCTCCAAATTCCTGCAACACATGAGGTCTAGAATGTTACTAGCATGCCAAATCAAAAGTGCCAAATAACTTTGTTAGATTGTTAAATTTGATGCTACACTACAGTGGGATGAAAATGAAATAATATGATTAAGTTAAGGGCTAAATTAAAAGAAAATGAAAATGATGCATGCAGAGCAAAGCATGCCAAATCAGAAGTGTAATTTTAACTTTGATAGATTGTTAAATTTGATGTTAAGACTGGATGAAAATGAAATAGAATGATTAAATCAAAGGACCTTTTTATTTTAGTCAGAAATATCAATTGAAAGAAAATGATGTAGGCAGACCCAAGTTGAAAATTCACTTGATCCAGAATATGTTTTTTTTTTTCCTGCAATATAGTATATCCTTCATGGAAAATGTTAAATAATGCAAGAATTGAGTGAAATCAACATCAATTTGAATCAAAGAGAAAATCCAATCTCAAAATTAAAGTGCACTACAAAGCACAGACCCTTATTTTTTGGCTTCCCTAAAGAGAGTAACGTAATTGCCAAAACCAGATCTTACAGAAGTTGACTGAGACAAAGAAAAGCGAGAGTGAGGAAGAGGATTAGAACTGAATAAGAGAAGATCTAAGAGTATAAAACGAACTAAGCAAGGAAATCCAAATGCAGAGCTACGATATTAGAAAAGTGAAAAAGAAAAGCGATGAAAATGCAGATCCGATGAAAGCGAAGAAGATTTAAATGTGCTCTGTTGTCTTGGCTCTGCTGACCCAGACGCTACGAGAGAGTGACAGATTAGAACGAGCTAGTTAAATCCCGAAGAATGGAGAAACACAGCTCAGAAACCCAAGAAAAAGGTTTCTTAATGCTTATTATAAATTCCTCATCACGCAAATCAAATCCATTAGAAGCACATTTTCCCAGGAAATTTGTTGGGAAACTCAAGTCAAATAAAGCAGCAGGTACCCACAATTAGAACAGTCAAGCACGCAGAGACACACAATGCACATGAACCCACGATAAAGACACAGATCTAGACAAGCAGATTCAGAAACTCCACAAAAAAGCACACCAAAATGGAAAAGCAAATGAAGTATGGCGAGACAGAGAGAGAGAGACTGACCTGAAGCAGAGAAATTCAGAGAGAGAAATGGGGAATGTGATGAAGGGAGGACGAAGAAGGAGGTATATAAAGATGGAGGAGAGGGTAAAAGAAAGTAGTGGGGAAGGAAACAGCTGGAGAGAGAGACACACACAAAATGTTGGTGGTAGTGTACTGTAGTGGATGATTCCTTGTGCTTCTGAGCGACTCTAGGGGAGGTGGCTTGCCCTTTTATCTTGACCAGGGCGACAAGATAAAATTTAGAAAAAATATCTGGCAGAAAAAAAATTTATATCAATTAAAAATTATTTATTATCAAAATAAAATAATTACCTATCAATTTATATTAATTTTTTATTTATATTTATCTATTAAAAAATTATTTATTATCAAAATAAAATAATTACCTATTAATTTATAATTTTATTTATATTTATCTATTCAAATTTTAATAATAATTCATGTTAAATTAACAATAATATATTTAAATTTTAATAATAATTAATTTTTAATTATTATAAAAATTTTTTAACGATCGTTCACTGCTATTTTTTCTAAAATAAATACATTGGAGTAAATATAAATTATATAAATTTTCTTTAAATTTTAATGAATTTTTAATTAAAAATTATTTTTGAAGTCCCTATGATACCTTCGAAGATTTTGACATTTTGTGATTTTGTCACTTCTCTCTGCCGTTTTTGGATACTAAATAAATTTCTCTCAGGACTAATATTGAATTGACTATAATTTCTTATTGAAATTATATAGATATATATATAACCTTCATTAAAAATAAAAGAGACGCATGTGTGATTTAAAAAGAGTTACATGATAATTCAGTCTTTAAATTATATGTTTAAAAATGTTTGAAACTCTAAACTCATTCATGATGTAATGTTCTTATTCAACTTTTGAAAACGATATAATCTCATTATTATCATTAAAAAAAGGTGATTTTAACTGTTAGTTAGTTAAAAAATGATAAAAAAATAAAATTATAGCAAATGATCAAGAAATTTTGTAAATTTTTTATCATTATTTGTAATTTTTGATTATTTTCTATAATTTTTAGTCATTTTTTTATAATTTTTGAGGTCATTTTTATTTTTTTTATCAACTAACGATCAAAGTTAAATTTTATTAATAGAAGAAGTAATATTGCACCTTTTTAAAACGTTGAAGGAAAACATCACATAAAAAATAAATTTAAGATTCAAAACACTTCTTGACTTATAATTTAGTAACCAATTACCCTTTAACTCTTTAAAAAATAAATTTTATTTTATTTACACTCTATTTTTCAATGAGCTTTGTTTAAGGGGACAATGACAATAAAAATCTCACTAAAATATATAAATGACAATCGGATTCCTTAAAATACTATAATTTTGCTAAAGTCTTTAAGTACCTTTCTGACATTAATGATTTTAAGTTAAATAATTAAATTACCTCTTATTTAAAATAAACAAAAATAACTAGTTTACATAAGAAATTGTAATTTCTTATTCAATTTTTGCTACATACAGAATAAAAGTTGTGATTGCTTAAACACAAATTTTAATTGGTTATTTTCAAAACTTAAACTTCAATGATAAAAGAAATATTAAGTAGAAAGTTTTGATTTTTTTTGTTTAAATTCTTACGATTCATATAATAAAAGTTGTGATTGGTTATTTTTAAAACTTGAATTTTAATAATAAAAGAAATTTTATATAAAAAATTATGATTTCTTGTTTAAATTTTGTAATTTACAAAATTAAAACTGTAATTGCTTAAACAAAAGTTACGATTGAAATTGTTTATTTTCATAACTTATTTATCAATAATAAAAGAAATTTCTTGTAGGAGGTTGTGATTTTTTGTTCAATTTTTACAATTTAAAGAATAAAAGTTGTGATTGTTTTGACAAATATTGTAATTGGGGGAGTGGAACCAGACCTATTATTTTTATTTTAAACAAGGAAAAATTTAATTGATTAGCATAAAATTATTAATGTTAGAAAGGTACTAAGAGACTTCAGAGAAATTATAACATTTCAAGGGACCTAATTATTATTTATATATTTCGATGTGATTTTATTATCATTTTTTCTTATTTAAGTTGGCAAAAAAAGGAGATTTAATTTGTTTATATTTTGAGAATATAACATATCTGTATTATTGTATACATTCTGAAAAAAAAAGAGGCGGTTATAATTTAATAAATTTTAAGAGATAATATTCGTGTAATTTTTTTATTTTTAGGGAATAAATTGTATAAGTTTTAAATTGTAAGCTTAAGAAAACTAAATGAAAATTTGTATAACTTAATTAACATATTTTAATAAAGACACTTTTTCTACCTCCATTGAAAAAAAATAATCACGTGTGGTCTTGTACAAATATATATTTCATTTTGTTTTCGTCACCAACCCCACAATATTTTTACCACTCAAGCTAATGATAAAATGTTATTATTTGTCTAAACTTTGTGTATCTTTTAATAGCACTGTTAAAAAAAATTATGTTATGAATTATTTATAAATAGTATGGTTTGTTAGAGCTTTTATATTCTATATTAGATATAATAGATTAGATAATGACCAATTGCTATTTACAAATAATCAATGAAAAATTAATGCAACAACATTTGAAGGGTTATTAGGAAATTATTTATATATGGATGACTCAAATTAGAATCTTTATGTATTTTTCATATTTTGAATTAAATTTTGAACCCAAACATAATTTTTAATTTATGAATAACAACAATATATACTCAATTTTCTATTAAAAAACTAAGTATTGCTGTAATATGTTGGTTATCGAGTTCATTTTCCATGCTGATATAGCATTGAACACCAATTACTGCAAATTTGCAATCATGTCATTCAATTTATTGATATATAGTTGAGTTATTGGATATTAAGTTTTAAATAACATTATTTATCTATTTATAATTACAACAGTTGTAATGTAAAGTAAATGCTTTTTCATGCAATGTGCAGTAGATATTATTTGCTTAATTATCAAGTTTTTACCTTAATACATTAAATAATTTTACTTGAATTTTATAATTTTTCACTTAATGAGCATACAAATAAATTAAATATTTCCAGACATGAAATTTTGTGCTTGTTTGACTATGGGGTGGGCTTTCCATGTCATTTGTCAACTAATTGCCTCTTTAATCCGTTGAACACCAACCTCGCACTCTCCCTCAAGTTATAGTCGGTGGTGTTATAATAACAAATATATGTATTTTGTTAATCTATATTAACGAATATTTATATGTAAATATTTTAAACTTCAATTTAAAAAAATGATGGTAAAAATTTGGGAGAATTGGTAATGAAGACCTAATTAGAACAAAAATTATGCTCAAGGACCAAATTAAATTTAAGGACAAAGCTAAATATTTTATTTATAAAGCAGTCAGTTTAAATGATCAAAATGCCCTAATATCTTTAGCCTGAATATTTCATCATTATTCATCCCGTTGACGAATGGCATTGGAAATCCATTCTTGCTCTTCATCAGTCCACCTTCCACCATCACTGCTTCTCTTGAAGTTGCCCCTTGTCTTCCTCACCTTTTGCCTTTGCTCCTTCTTCCACTATCGTTGCTCTTTCTCATGCCTTCCATCATTTACATTTGTACTTGCCATTTCGTCATTTGAATGTCAGATTTGCTTTTGCTTGACGTTTGAACTTGCCACCACTGACCGATGCTTCATCCAGTTGCAATCACTGCCCAAAATCAATCCTTTGATTTGTTACTGATGTTGATACCTAGTATTACTATTTTTTTCACATTTAATTCTCATGGAATGCAATTACTTCATATGGATAGATACATCATTTTCCATATCTTCCTTTTCAAACATAACCTTTAATAGCAGCACAGTTCTATATATTAATAAACTTAATTTTGTTTTGGAGTGAGAAGTCTCATGTGGTTGATTTTTATTCCTTTTTATCTAATTTTAAGGATTTTGTTAAATATTTTCCTTACTTTCAACCCTTAGGTTAATTAATGAATGATTGAACATTAAAATTCAAAGGTTAACGTAGAGTTGCTCAGTAAAAGTAATAACTTCCTCTCTTTTTTGTTTTTTTTTTGTTTTGGGGGTATATTTTTCATAGCTATGCAACAAAGCATAGATGTGGCGTGGTTATCAAAGGAACAAATTTGAGTGGAAACATATCAGGAACTGATCCATTGAAGGACAACCGCTTACTTTTGAAAGTAGAAGCTTTAAATGATTCTTAAGAAGTAAGTCATGCTACAGTTATTGTTAATGAGTTGTCCAAGAAAATAATTAAGATTATAGTTTCACATCTTGTGAATGCTAAATGTGTTGCAGAGGAGAAGAACATAGCTAATGTAGTCCTTTTAAGAGGTTATGATATTCAAATTGAGGTCTATTATTTAAAGTTTTATCATTTTTTGTTCATTTAGTTAACAAACATAAAAGTACTACTTAATAGAACCAAAATTTGCAGCGTCATCCATTTGCATAGTCAGTCACCTTAGAGGAAGTCACTTAAAGTGAATTATTTTTAGAAAATACTTGACAATATTTAAAACTTAAAAATAATTATGATATTGGCTATTTTGGTAGAAGTATAGTCGTTGTTTTATACCTTGAAATTTCTGTTTTTCTGTGCTTTTGATCACAAACTTGGTAAAATAATTGGACATTAAAACACATGATGTTTCATCCTAAACAAGAAAAATAGATTTAATACATCCGAAATTGCAATATAATTTATTGATGCTAATGTGCTCATTTACATGTCTTATATATGCATTTATTTTAAATTGCTTTTTATAGGTTCCTCCATTTTGTAAACAGGCATGGCTTGTGGCCATGCATGGTAGCTCCAACAAAAATAATTGTTGGCCTAGGCTTATCACTTGGCATTGATATTTTTGAAGCTCTTAGAGCAATTGGAGATTATCGAAGGCTACTA